AAAGGTCATTAATGGACTGGAAGAAGGGCGTAAGTCAGAGAAAAACGTTCCGACGTCGAACGACGGTATAACATTTTTTTTTTTAGTGTTCTGTCTGACGACAGGGCCATATGAACAGGGTCCTTCCATCCTTTTCTCGGACTGGGACTTGTTCATATACGTTCTTGGCAGATGATCCATAAGTGGTTTGCCATTGCCTTCTTCTGTGTGTGAATGGAGTAATTGTTGGGATGCCACGGAGGAAAACTCCGTGTTGCCTAGACCACGGCCTTGCCCAACACAAGTTATAAATTCGGGCACCGCCGGGAATCGAACCCGAGACCCCCCCAGGATTACAAGGCCAGCGTTCTAGCCGCTACGTCATCAGAAAGCCAAGGGCGCGACTCGTATATCACTTACTTCAGCAAATTAACAAGAGTTTTAAGGCGACTGCATTCATCCCCAACTTCACTAGAATAAGAGATTACGTTAGAATTATGTAATTTCTGCTGAATTTACGAGATCAAGACACATCGTGAGTGTCAAGGATTTCAAAATAAATATCGCACACGACACGAACTGATATCAGTACGGTCTTAGAAGAAGAACTGTCTATCTCCAGAGAATATTAATTACAGAAGTCTTATAGAGCTGATTAAATTAATGACAGACAGACCTTGAGGGATTTTTTTTACAACCAAATATGATTTTCCCCTCCTTCATGAATGATCGAAAAGAACAAAGAATCAGTTCACGTACTCAGATCCAATTTCAACAAAATTAATTTCGATATTATCTTCCCATCTACTCCTTGGCGTCCAAAGTTATCTCTTACTTTTAAAATTTCCCGACTAAAATATTTCACAGACCTGTATTTCTCATCTATTTTGTGTGTGATACGTATGTCGTCCAATTAATAAATAAATAAATTAATTAATGAATACGAAGGTGAAATTCGTAAGTCAAAAGGATTTTGAAACTTTAAAACGTAATCAGCGGATGATATTCATACAAATCTGTAGACGATAATCCACCTTTGTCATAAAACTTTAGTGTGTGTGTTTAATTTTATATTTCCATGATAAATTTTATCTGCACTGAGCGATTTCCTTGTAGATTAGGCAGTGACCAGGCGTTGGCAAAATGCAAGCAGAAACCGCGATTTCCCTTGGATAAAAACAAACGTGGCACTTAGAGCGCTTTGAATATGACGGTAATGAGTACAAATGGCATGTTTTGTAGATTAAAACTACATTTACCACTAAATAAAATGTAAACAAGCCACGGCTGTATCTTTGAAAATATGTGCATTACATACATTAGATTAATGAGTCAATACGGCATAAACAAATTTGTAGCCAGATTAGAAAGAAAACAAGAAATTGATAGAGCAAGGAATAGATAACATATCAAAACAGTGTTTCCGGTTACTATGCCTAGACAAACAAACAAGACTCAGTTCTGAGAAGCAAATGTTAGGAAGGATACCGTTTCCGCCACGTTCACGTTAATGGTGTCTGCTTGAGATGTTATCTTAATTCGTTCTGGTCTGTTGATGTCAATTCTTTGCGTCCCGATAAGAACACGAAAAGATGGAATAATTTTCCGTAATTCCTTGTAGCCTAGGACATCTATTAGAGAAAAGTTCGTGTTAGGAATGCGTGGAGTTTTATTTCCATAATTGGTAATCCTGGGGTCTCGGGTTCGATTCCCGGCGGTGCCCGAATTTATAACTTGTGTTGTTGGGCAAGGCCGTGGTCTAGGCAACACGGAGTTTTCCTCCGTGGCATCCCAACAATTACTCCATTCACACACAGAAGAAGGCAATGGCAAACCACTTCCGGATCATCTGCCAAGAACGTATATGAACAAGTCCCAGTCCGAGAAAAGGATGGAAGAATCCTGTTCATATGGACCTGTCGTCAGACAGAACACAAAATAAAATAATTTCACACAGAAGAAGGAAATGGCAAACACCTTCTGGATCATCTGCCAAGAACGTATATGAACAGGTCCCAGTCCGAGAAAAGGATGGAAGGATCCTGTTCATATGGACCTGTCGTCAGACAGAACACTAAATAAATACAATACGCCTGAATAACGTGGCGTTAAGGCATTGACACTGAATATTAATTACTTCTTGCGACAAGCTGCCTTCTTTTATTTCTGGTTTTATTAATAGGAGTGACGCGTTCTTCAATAACTGTTTACCTGATGGTCAAAGTACAATGGTGTCGACGTGTCGACGTTTTCTGTAAGCTGGATGTTTCGTATTGTTATAATTACTTCATACACGATATGGATACGCCAAGGCCCGTTAACAAAGCAACGAGTACAGAAAGACAATTGTTTGCTATGATTCCCTCTGTATTAGGTCTACGTTTTTTGAAAGAACTGCGCACATGTAATAGACGTACATTTTTAATTATTTTGTCTGTGTGTTGAAAAGTACGAACATGGGGAAGTCACAGTATTTTATAACTACAACGATCAGCTTCCACTAAGTCGTCCGTGTTCCCACCAACTGTTTTCAACAAACATTGTTTGAACGAATTGCATTAGACGTGAGGATTTCACCAACATTTGCATTATGATAATTATTAATAAGTCAAGAAGGCATATCGCAAGATGGATTTCTTCTGAATGAAACTTTAAAATGAAATTCGTGATTACTTACGTGAACTCGAATATTATTTAAATTGAAGATTCTTCTGTTTTCTTCCGAATAAATAATTACATTACAGACGCAATGTTCAGCCAGTGCATAGCAGCGCCAACTGTTAGCAACACCGTGAACCCGAAGGACTTGGAAATTGAGGTTAAGGTCCTTAGGTTTAGACGTGTCCTTGCTTGCAACCCATTGTTTTAAATCTGCCCAAATAAGTTCAGTGGGGTTTAAATCGGGATGGTACGGCGGAAGTCTCAGCGTAGTAAGTTCTTTGTCTTCTGCACGGTGTCATGACCCAGAACACTATAATTTTCGAACAATGAACTCGCCGTTTTACCCACCATAAGCAGGCTTATAGTTTACATTAATGATTAATGCGTAGAAGTAATGTAGCTGTGTCCCTACATGATAAAACATTATGTTTATTTATATATTTATTCTCATTCAGCACGTTAAAAATAATCGTCATTTAATCTCTTTTGTAAATGTGCCTACGTTTTTTGTTTATCCACTGGGGCAAGAAGGCGAAGAGGACACGCTCATCGCCATGATTAAATAATGACTCAGACCACAGAATTACTCGTTTGAATCCGGTTTATCTCTTCCGAGGGAAAAGGCTTAAATTCGAATGGAAGATCAAGCTTTACACACTAAGCAAGAAATCGCGGGAAATATCGAAGCGACTATAGTTCAACAATTTTCACATGAGATTTGAGGTTATGGGTTGTGACGCTGTGTTGACTCGTAGAAGGTATGACCATGCATGCAGTCTCCATATTTAGAGCTGAACAGTCTACATCGTCAACATTATCACAGAATAGGGAATTATAATTGCAATGAATTGAAATTAATAGTCGATAACGATTTAATTAGGCTGTATTAAGACTTGGAAATCATATATTTCGAACTTGAAATTGCGTACTTATTCTTACAAGTGTGTGGATCGGCCGGGAGGGAGGGGGGGAACTATTTTTAAATGTCAATCATAGATAACTTTTTTTTTTTACATAAAACAAGAAATCAATTTTGTAACTTCCGCCACCGCGTTGTCAGTGTTTTTTATTATATTATCACAAAATGACAAACAATTTGCGCATTTGATTCTGTTTTGACATATTGACCCAAAGACCCAGATAGATAAAGAGTTCACGTAATCTTTTACAATGTTTCTGGAAGCTGATTACTGTAAGATACCCCTCGTTTCTATTAAAACGCCTACTGATGACGTTAGACCTAATCTCTGACACGATGAAAGGACATCAGGCGCCCAGCGGCGGTTTAGGGATTTGACAGGCGCTTAGAGTCATCTGAAGTTCTTTTGCAGTAATAAAGTAAGTTCTATCTCGTGAGTGATGTCTTGCATTAGGTACCTGGTGAATCCTAACCAAGACGAATGGTATAATGTGTAAGGATCTATTCGTTTTTCACCGCACGAAAAAGTTTAAAAACCTTCGTAGACCAGACCTCTGGTAATTGTTGGAACATACATTTCGCTAAACAATTTTGAGCATTTTTAAATAGTGCTGGATTCCACAATCAACCTCGGTCTCGCGCAAATGCGATTTCTTGCATGTAATCCGTCACTGCAAATACTGAAAGAAAAAAAACCCGGATCGAGTGTTATTATGAGAAATTGTGTTATCCGGAAACGCTCCAGGGTCAATTCTTACGTCTTTCGACATTGCTTACATTAAGATTACGTCTTAAGAAGCGATCTGCGTCTACTCTAATTACGTCTAGAATGAGTCTCACGCATTTAAGAGTTATCCGGTCAAGACCTGTGGAAACATTCATTGATTAAATATCAAGCTTCACGTTATTTATGAAATTGTTGAACAGATTTATAAAATTTTGGTGTCAGAATTTAACTGATCTCCATCGAACGAAAATACTGGTGATATTATTCTATAATAAATATACCTGCGACATGAAAAGAATATCTTGGTACCACCACCGTCTTAACGTAGGTACCATGGGCAGCAAAATCTGGAGCTGAAGTGAGAATGTGTGGAGCTACACCTCCACTCCCTCATGCATCTCCACGGTGCGGTGCACAACTTTACCTTTGCTAAGTTTAATCAACACATCCTTAAAGGCCGCGTCTAGAATATGATGAAATGCAGCGAAGTGAGGGCCCATGTCAAAATATGTCAATTCTTTGGTTGTCTGTCAATCACGCGTCAATGTTGGCTGCTGAAAACTGGCAACGAATTACTAAATGCTTTGTCCGGAGTCTGCTTACATTCCGGACTCGTTGAGGAATAGGTTGCGATTATGTATTAAGGGGGTTCAATAGTTCAGAGATGTTTAATTCTCTCCGATATCCTGGGAGCAGAGAATTATAAAGCCACGATGAAAACTGTTCCTTATATTATTTATTCCTGAGGTCAGTAATACAATTTCTATGTTACGGACAAATCGCTGGTCACGATTTCTTGTAGTGGTGTTGCACGAAGCCATCTTGTGACGGAGGCCATATTTTTTGTCGCAAGTAATCGGTCTTGGCGGTCGGTTCGGCCATGTACATAGAATTCCACACGGATGAACTTATTCCTATCACTCTGTACCCCAGCATCTCCAGGTGACGTCGCTTCACTTGTTGCTTGCCGCGCAGCTGCGTCACGCCGTTCGTATAAGCGTCTTCGCCCCACAACAGTATTGCGATCCTGCGAGCATTAAGACAATAAATGTCTCTCGCTGTCTGGAGTATGACGAGTTTTGTTTTCTACAAATTGGGGACGGCCGAGGTCCGTCTCCATGTCCGACAAACTCAAATAAACAATAGAACAGCTACCATTATCAGTAATAAGACATAAAATGTATGTAAAACCATGAAATCTCTTCTTTTTCTTATCATTTGTCTGGCTTTGGTGGGGTCTGCTTTTTCCTCTCTTTTTGGAGGTTGCTCGATCTATTTAGTCATTCGGTAGGACTCCCTGGACGAGGGATCGGCCCGTCGCAAGGCCTCTACCTGTACACAGGACGGCACGACACAGAAAAACATCCATGGCTTGAGTGGGATTCGAACCCACGGTCCCAGCGACCAAGCGGGACAAGGCCCACGCCTCAGACCGCGCGGCCACTGCGACCGGCATGTAAAACCCTGAAATATGAACTGTTCCCTACATAAAGATTTTGAAGAACTTCTTGGTTCCCACATCTACCGATGCATGACACAAGAAACTCTAAGTCTGACGTCAGAGTTCCGTAAAATATCCAACCTGGTAATATTTGAGTCTCCTTGATGCCTGAGGGTGACAGGCACCTTGTCCTTATTCAGCAGAACTTGGAAATCTGTGAACATGAACGGGAAAACAGCGTTTTAAAAAGCGGCAGATCTTCCTTTCCGAGAGCAAGATTTGCGATCTCTACAATAAAAGATAACGAGTATCACATATTACAAAATATTACATGTTCTTTCAGTTGTGATGGTAATTTCAGATAAGGTAGAAATTAATAAATTTCATTCCTTAACCACATTAATTTGCATTGACCTAATTTCAAATGGTGCATCAGAGTCCGTAGATGATGGTCCACCCCAAAGAACAAAAGACGTCATTGCATCTTACGTCAGGAACTCAGAAATCCTCCTCCGTGCCAAATGCTCGAGAAATACGCGCTACAATAATTGCGTGCAATGAAATTTGAGAACATCAGAAAAGCTCACCCAGTCTATAGAAGTACGGCGAATATCTGTTTACTTGGACGTACTGTTCACTTCCCATTACGGAAATCAAAATCTGACGGACGTCATCGTGAAAAGGACTCGACTTCGGCGACTCTGCGAAGACAAGACAATGAAATGACATATATTATATTCCTGTTTTCACTTAAGTGTAAAAATTAAAGCAGTCCCGCTACACGCCATGCAGGCGCTTGGGGGCAGAGGAGGCATAGCTCCTACTCATTCTTTAACCTTGGCACTAGATGGGGGTGAGTGGTCAGCGTCAAAATGTTGGCAGAATGTGATATACGAACAGAGTGATGAGATGGACAGATCTGTTCGCAGAAAATGAAACAAAATGCAAGATACACCAGCACTTTCCAGATTCAGCAATCAAAGGCATTTTGACTCATCAGAGGACGGCTTCGTACAACGCTTGGAGTTTTGTAATGTTAAACTAATGCAATTGTACCATAAAACAAATGAAAAAATACACATCGCATTACCTAGAGCTGCAGTCTGTTGACAGTACTTCTCATGGAACCAGGGTATATCAGTCTCTGGATAATCAAGGCAAACGGCGCGATTAAGATGCATCATAGTGTAGCGAACGCGAACAGGGTATGACGCCTGTAAAGACACGGATGGACGTAACTCAAATAATGTGCACATATAGGACAAAAAATGAAATTACGTAACAGAATTAATAAGTGCACTAGAAATGTTACAGACAATTGTAAATCCTCGAGATACCTTGGCATAACAGTTGAGAACCTCTTCGTCCAATCTCTCAAGAAAATCTACAGTAAAGATGAAGTGCACAAGATCCTCTGGAAGGTGATGAAAGAAGCAGAATGCAATGGCGGCTTGAATCAAGATCAACCCTTGTAATCGTTCTTTATCCCTGTTTTAGAAATAAATGTATTACCTTTAGTAGTACAATAGTTTTGGACAATCACAAACTCATAGTAGGAGTTCAAGTTCAGATTTTCTAAAACTGTATAGAAATGTTAATAGCATCTTAATAAATCTGCGGTAAAGTTACCCGTGTTTAAGCACCAACCAACATCTCTTTACAGATACACGCAGAATTGTTACCAGATTTATTTTTAAAAGTGCTACACATTATCAACGAATTATGAATTAGAGGCTTTTCAGAAATGATACAGATTTATGTTTTGCAGAAATAATAATACAGTATAGTATATTTTGCCTCACTCCCAGTGAATTCCTGACGCAATCTGACAAAGATGGCTACTGCCTGACAACTGGAAAATATCAATAAATAATGTCAGGAATGTTGATCACACTGCAAGGTTTATGTTTGATTTTATAAACGCGGATATTTATGTTAGGAAGAGCATTAAGCCATTGCAGTCTAACATCAAACACTACTTGTGGGCAGTCACAATGTCCACAGAGCCACATAATGACGACAGACAGTACTCGCTTGCACCACCCACTTCGACCCCACCACTTAAAATAATACTCCAGGCCAAGCAATAGCCATTTAAGGAGACTTAATGAGTTAACGCTGTTACTGTCGATTACCTAAGAATGATGCCCGATGCCACTGAAAAGAAAGAATTAGTTTGGGTTGGTGTGTACCCCAGACAGTAACACACATACAGCAATTTCACTACTGTGTCACCCAGAATATGGTCACCGTTCTCAACGACGTAATTCACTAGCTGATCTACCGTGCCGGGCACCAAACAGTTCATTGCCAGCAAGTTGGCTGAAACGTCTCGCAACCCTCTTGAAGAAACAGCACCACTGAAGTTCTCATGCCTGCAATTGTAACACTTTGTCAATATTCCTTACGTTGTTCCAACCACAAAGCAACATAATCTGAAACTAGAAAAATAAAATAAAATAAGAAATTTGTGTTCCAAATACAATGTCCTTAAACAAGCGAATGAGAGATCTGGCACAAGTGCCTACGAGATAGAGGAGAATTAAATGTGCAGGGTAAATGCCACACACTTCATAATAGACATGAATGGAAACAGAAGGTTCAAAGCTTTCACAGCAACTGAACACAATGAAGTGTTCTTTTTTGACTGACACGCTGATCGTTTGACAAGACTTAAAATGGATGCATGGCAAATCTCTCTTCTTATTTAACATATTTATGTAAGAAATATAGAGTTTTGTAATTAATGCGTCCCTATACCAATAGACGTACCTCTTAATTAAATGCTCAAATAGCTGTGTGTCACATGTTCCTCTCCTGTTGATATAAGCTTTCGTAATCTTGTTGATATCAGAAAGTGATAACACTTCTTCCTTTAAATGTTGCAGGGCACAATTATTCATGGCTGTATCTACATTTGTGAACACACTCAGAAGGCGTGAAGAAATGCCTTTTCTCTGACACCCAAAAGTTGTACCAATGTGCAGTCCTCTTGAAATATACACGCAGTCTGTTTTGTTGAACTGTGGGGCCATGTCGTCTACTTTGCACACCATCTGTGTGAGGGTGGATTCAGAAACGGTTGATCTTGCCTGACCGATATTACCATATGCTAATATAAATGAAGCAACACGTGCAAACTTTGATGGCATCACACCAGCAGTACCATTCTCTACTTCATGCCACAACCAATGGATCAATCGCCTCTCCAGCTCATAGTGACGGTACGTTCCACCAAGATTATTGTTGAAGTGCATGTACCTTCGAGGTGAGAAAGTCATGCATTAATTTGCTAGTACACTAACACCGCGGAGCACGGTATGTTTAAAGAAACTAAATCGCTGAGAAACTAAGTCATTAAGTAAGTCAAAAAATGATTTATTGCTACGTTAACAACATCAGCAAAAATTTCAACATTTCAAATGAAGATCTTCAATGATATATTTCAATTATAACTCTAGGTTAGAAATTACAATGGTCAATGATATATTTCAATTATAACTCTACGTTAGAAAGTACAATGTTGTAATAACACTCAGTGATGTCAAAAGTACTGTATATGAAGAATAAAACAAAAACTTACACATGACAAACCAAAAAATTGAAATTCCTCAACTAACCTATGAGTGACTCTAAAAAGTTTATAGTCTTCTCTCTCTTCTGGAATATTCTCCATACACTGAAGGGTCCTTGACCAGAATGCATCACAAAGTTTGACATTGGACGTCTTAAGCTGTCGAAGAATCTTGAAAAGAGTTGGCAAAGATGATGGTGTACATCCCTCTACATGGCGCTGTGCAAGTTTCTCAAGTGCCAGCTTTTGTGTTGGAGACGAGAAGGATACCAGACAAGACAGTAGGTCTGTTGTCACCTGGAACGCTAATGGATTACTGGAAATTCTTTCATCTTCCACTTGTGACAAAAACTGAGTAGCAGCGTCATGCATTTCATCTACAATGTCAGCAGGTTCCAGGTGAGTCTGAAAAACCTGTGAATAAACTTTGTTGGTATAGTAACTTTTCTTTTCAAATCTGGAAACACATAAAAGTTTAATATCACAGATACTTCCAAGATAATGAACTTCTCAGATACAAGGTTCCAAAAATACAATTTAAATAATGTGTATTCCACTTAATATAGAACCCACCATAACAGCATGCTGAGATGGCAGCGCTTGAACCACTGGAAAATGGGTTACTCACAACAGAGCAGAATATAGCTCGGTGGGTTCCAAGTGACATGGGAAAATGCACTCACCAAAAGGTAAGCAATATGCTTTATACACACCACTAGATTCCTTTAACTTGACCATGGGAAGTGGGCCGCTGTATTTCTGGAGTCCTGGCTGTGATCACCCCTCTCTTTCAGTCAAATCATCACAGAAATCACTCAACTACATCACAAGGAAAGGCATCACCATTTGTCTTATTTACTGTTACATTACCTTGTGCAAGGCTACAAGATCCTTTGGTGAAATTCCACAGATGCTGCCTTTAAGAACCAGCAGTAGTCTTTGTGTGCTGGCACCATTCTGATCAGACCATTGTGGGTAGTTAAGAAATCTGACAGCTTTGGTGATAACTTTTGAATCCTGTGCTGTAATTATTCCTCTCTCTACTAGAGAGTCTGCTTTGGATTTGTATGCGTTTAAGACAGAATTACTGACCAGCTGACAGATGTTGACAAGGCATATTGTTAGTAGTCGAAACTCTTCTGCGCTGTTGCAAGATTCTACAAAAGAAGAAAAAATTGAATACCAAACTCTTTCTCATTCAAGATTTTTCATTTCTTATAACTGATTTACACTGTCACAAATCATTTGAAATTAGTATTTGTATGGAGGAACTGAGGAAAACCACAAAAAACCTAGGTCTGGTGTACAGTCTTCAAGTCTAGATAATTATTGTGACACACAGCACTGAATTCTATACTGTAATACACCATTTGTAAATTATTAATGAGATGCATCTTTGCACTTCTATATACAGCCACACTAACACACTGGATTGTTTGATTTTGGGACTTTGTCCATTGTCTGGTGTTATAAAATTACATGTTTCAAGGACTGGATCTGCCATCTTCTTTAGGTGTGGTGAAGGAGGGCAGCACCTAATCTGTGAGGTCCATTAGAATGACTGGACCAGTGAGGGCAGATCCAGCCCTCAAAACATTCCATAATTTTATAACACCAGATGAAAGACAAAGGCCAAAAACCCAACAATCCAGATTGTAATATAACATCATCAGGACCATTCAGAACATACTGACACCAACATGGCCCAGCACTAAAGAACATACCAATACCAGTTAATATACGTGGCAGTGTCATCTTGGAGACCAAGACTCGCCACAGTCCTCTCCCACTGTTAACTGCCACAGTGAAACGAGACAATGCTGTTAGAGGAAATCTTGGGCCACAGCTCTCCAACATGTATTCACAACGATCTATTAATTTCTGCATTACAGGATGGTGGACATCTACACCCATTTTATTTAAATAAAGTATTGTTGCTGTGAGAGCATCAACTGACATATCTTCATTCCACTGGCTCACTAAGTGCAAAAGCATCCCAAAATCTGGATGTCCGCTAACTTCATTAATATAGTTATTAAGAATGTCATATGGGTTTAACAAAGAACTTAGAACCTGGTTTTGGTATAAATTCAGAACATTCACTTTATAGAAAATCTTTTGAAGATCCCATAAAATTATGACAGCCTGGCTCACAAGTTGCCCATCTAATTCACATTTATACCCTTTTATGAAATTAAACACATCTTGTACTGAAGTAGAAGCATTCAGCTGTTTAATGAGAGGATCTTCTGAAATTGGGTACAATATATTCCTAAAAGAAAAAGTCTCAGATTCATTGTACAGGTCAATCCCTTCCTCTGCAGCTTCTTCCAATTCACTATCACTTTCAATTCCAGCTCCTTCATGCACATATTTAACTTGAACAATACAAGTTACATTGTTACAAACTGGAATTAGGATCTGCCTAAACAGTGGCACCAAGGTAAGTCTTGTTAGGTCTTTAGGTACCGAATTTGAATACATAAACTTTGTTGAGAATAACGCACGTTTTATTCGAAGCCAAGACACACTCCGTACAACGGTGTGTCTCCCGATACTGTAAAAAGGCGTCATTTCTGTTTTTATTACATAAACTCAAATTACAATGTCAACATTGTAATAATTACGTTCGAATTCATATTTAAAAGTGATGAATTACAGAGTTGAAGGCGGATACAAAAACAATCCATTAAACTATTCACACACTATTACGAGTGGAATCACATCACATTGCCACCTGTATATGATCTTCGAGGTGACATAAAACATTATGCCAAAGTTGACCGTGCAGAATGCTCTTGCTCTTTACAGGTTAGAAATCGTAGGATTTTTAGGTTAGAAATCATAACCTCACAAACACCCTCAACTACCACAAGGATTGCGCATCTAGGATGATTTTACATGGTGCAATGCCATATAGGTTGTGCTGTGATACGTACATTATATCTCACAAAAGTCTGAATGACGAGTACGTGTTAGTACATCTCAATGTCGGAAACATATTTCTATTTATTACGAACTGAACGTCGTGAGTAACACTCATGCTTCGTATTCGGGAGGTCCCGGAGACCGGCTGTCATGACTGGTTTTTTCGTGCTTTATCTCAGGCCTGCACCATGTAGTCTGGAATAAGATTGTCCATTTCAAAGCTCCTTGCACTCAAGCCCTGATAATTGAGGAAGCAAGTACCGCTTCTACCACATTAAACGGCGCAACGCACCAGAAGACAGCCATCATCATTCGCCTCCGTGAGAACCTGAATCCTTCTTGTATTTAGTTATTATCAGTGCCAAAAACCGTTATGTTGTGGAAAGCTGAACATGACAGGGATTTTTCTCGGACCGTCACATTCCATTTTCAATATATTTGACCATAATTATTCATGTTGCAAGTGAAGGCTGGTTTCCTTTTCTTTACAACGTTCACTAACAACTATGACAAGTTTGCTGTGAAAAATAATCTTTGATATCGAGAAATGTGAGGAACAGTGATTTCAGAATGCACCATGATATTAATCAGTACTTTCGTAATCTGTGGTTGTCAGTATTGTGTTCCATCGATTAGTGTAGTATAATAGGAAACATATTTGTTTAAAATTTGTTTTATTTCTAAACTCTTAATTGTTATCGCTTTCCAACACAAGTTCAAAGTAAGAAATCTGAAGGATGGACAGGAATATATGTTGTGACGTGGTAAGATATGTTTGTTTACAAATTTCGAAGTTTTCACAATGGCCCTACTTCTTAACAAGTTGGAGGTCACATATATATCTTCGAAGTGACAACTAATGTCTATGCTCCTCTGTTTGCCACAGACGCAATTGTTTTATACAGTTTTGTTTTTTTATTCAATGATCTGTATATAACCCATCTTTTTCTATTTTAACTTCAACAGGCTGCTTCAGCAGATCAGCAGCAGCCACCTATGTCTGTCACTGTGACAGTTACTGTCCCTGCTACTACATTGCCTGAGACTGAGATGACAATTAGTGGAGTACCACCTTTACTTCGAGATTCAGAAGAGCAGGTAAAGAGTTGAGCTGTAATTGTATGTTTGAGTTTTTAATGAAGGTGTTTTGTTATATTGTAGTATATGTAAATTATAATGTACTGTATTTGCATTTCCCTCTTTTGATGTGTTTTCTGTTATTGAAATGTGTAAACAGAGTGATGAAGAAGATATTCCTCCTCCAAAGGCAGATTTTTCTGCTCCGCCACCATATGAGGTGGCCACAAAATTACCAACTTATGAAGACGTTCAACGAGAGAAATCTCTTCAAGGTGAACACACATCACCTCGAGTACCTTTAGCTTTTCTAGCTATTGATACAGAATCTCCAGATGGAGACACTGAGTCAGGACTTCTGGGAACAGATTTCATGTTCTTCACAGCTTTCTTAGGTAAGGTAAATGCATTAGAGGTAGATATTTAGCATAAATATAGAATTTTCTCTCTTTCTTCATATGGGTTATTTGCTAGTTTTTTGTGAATGAGGTTTCTTGCTGAACATAGTGGCTGAATGGTTATCACTTAACTTCATCTTAGGAAAAGCCTGCATTTAAATCTTGGCCTGGAGACCATCTGTCATGACAAGTGTTCCATGATATTCTCCAGACTTCCAAGCAAATTCCAGGATAGTACCCCAAATTAGGCCACAACCACTTCCTTCCATAGTCCTTCTAGTTCATTATCTGTCGATTGATACTATATAGTGTGAGCTACTGACATCATCAGTAAATAAATATGAAGTCCCTCATGGAATTTTCTCCAGCCATTTCGGTTCCATAATGTCCAAGTGTTCTCAGTTCCCTGCTTCCGAGCACTCTCAGTCTGTGACATTTCATTTTTTTTATAGTGAGTATGAGAATGGCTGTCTTTTGGGATAAATTGACTAGCGATTGAGAGGTGCTTGATGTAGGCAGTAAGCACCTTTGAAATGCTGGTCAGTTTCTACCAGACTACACTGTGCAATATCCTGGAAGATAGCCACTTTCACCCTTCATCTATTCTTTACCTTTAATGTAAGAGACCAAGTTTTACACCCATACAAAATATTATTTTTTTATATATATGTTAATCTTTTAATTTTTAGATAAGAATGGTTCAGATGTTTACATATGATAGTCATGCACCAATTCCACTCTGTCATTTAGAAATGATGCATCACCATGTATTTGTTAGTGTCTTAAAACTAATATATTTTTAAAATTTTATTTGTAGTTGCATTCCTGTTCAACTGGATTGGTTTCCTGTTGTTGATGTGTTTCTGTCATACGATCGCTGCTCGTTACGGAGCCTTGTCTGGATTTGGACTGTCACTTGCTAAGTGGACTTTCATCGTCAAGCACTCAACAGAGTTTGCTTCTCGTGAAAACAGTTGGCTATGGTGGCTCATAATGGCTTTTGGTAATATTGTATTAGTAACAAACTTTTTTCTTAAATTTGTCTATTCTATACTGGAATGTTAATTGTATAAAACAGAATTTATGCATTTTCAGGTGGATTTTTTTATGGAGACAAAGCATAAACAATGTTAGGATCTTCCCAAGTGTTTAATCTTAATTCATTTTAAAGATTCTGTGACCTGAGACGTGATTTGCTTTTATTATTTTGTTGGTGGTACATTAACTTCTGGCCTCTGGGAGTTTGGTTAATCTTTGTGATCGGCTTGTGAGAAGTAATTTGTAGCTGATGCGTACAAAACATGATGGCTTAGCATTATGGAAATTCTAAGGATTCATACTTGACGAAATTCTATGATTTTGTAATGTTCTTCTTTAAAGGATGATATCCTGAGTAGTGTCAGTATGTGTGGAAACTGTTGTAGATTGACAGCATCAAATCAGAACAAATATTGTATGAGTTTTATTATTTCAGGACTTCTAATTTGTGTTCGTGCCATCATCCAGTATTTGAACATCAAGCGAGGGTGGCGTTTGCTGTCAGGAAGTGCTCAAGAGCGACTTCTCTTCTTCTACTGAGGCATAATTTGAATAACCTTTTCACTTCTACAGGAAACCCATCCTAAGATTATAATAATCCCAACAGATTGACTTGACTTCTTTGCGGACATGGAAAATAATTGATATTATTAGTGCTATTGCTTAAAGTAACGCAAATATATTTCATGAAATGATTTTCTTAATTTCATCCAAATGTCTCTGGTCCATTACTTCATAAAGATATCGGTCAGCGTCATATATGTATAGTATTTGGTGACCATATTTGTGTGAAGCACGTCGTCGTTTGTAGTAATCTTTGTATTCTATAAATTGATATATCTGAAGTGGTTTTTTGTATTTAACCCAAGGATTCATACATCAGTAACTGGACATTGAATGAACTGGAAAATTGTTAGGTTCTGTCAAAATATATCTTAGCCATGGAGAATACGTTGTTTGGTAACATGTCGTGCGGATCGTGTAATTTACTGTAGTACAGAATTCTTTAATAGGAAAATAATGTAAAACATTAACAAATTTTAAGAAAGCAAGTTCATGTTATGAAAGGACTGAAATGGTCTGATTTTCATAAATACTGATAAAGTTGATCAGTTAGTGACTGGTAGCCATTCTAAGCTTGTTATTGCCTCCCAGTACACGGTTCCGTCTATCCAATAAAATTATTTTATCTGAAGTTTGTTTTCACAAATGGTGGTGGTGTAAAGGAATGAGAGTTTCGTAAACACAATAGAAAGCAAATATTTTTTTACTTTGGTTTTATAAATCCAAGAATCTAATTTATATAGTAAAGGGGATCATTTAGAATTCCATTTTGTTTTCTTATTATTACACTTAACAGGACAGCCGTGTCTTTAGTTTGTCATTGTGAGAATGTATTTAATTTTTGCATCTATGAAACTAGTCAGAACTGTATCTTTGGCGAAGGAGAGGGATGCTGTGGAGTGCTATTTAGTGTTTGCAGTGTGTTTACTATTTGTGAATTAATATTGTTAAATTTAAACATGAATTTCAGAAGATATTAAATCCTTACAGTATGTTACCCATTTTTATGTGCTTGTCCATCAGCTTTTGTTTCTAATCATCGCTGAACATCTCAATTTTCTTTGGGATGAATGTGGACAGGCAGATTGTTCAAATATGTTCCATGTTGAATACAGAGGTCTCTCTGTGTGGATGTAGTTTTATTACTCTGAGGATGGGGGATGTAGTGATTACCTTTAATATCCTCAACCCAGCCACCTCTGTGCTTTTATGCTTGCATCACAAGTACGTTATAGTCCAATTCACTACCACGTCCCCTTGCACTTGTTATTAAGTGTGGAGGATTACAAATTTCTTCCTTTTTTTTTTTCCCCATTAATATTTATCAGGTTTTATTCACATTAATTTTGTTTTGTTTAATCTATTTCCTAATAAGGGACAGAATTTCTTTATTTCAAAGCCTTTTGTCCGTTTCTCAATCCATTTATGGAGAAAGTAGTTTTACATTTGTTGTAAAATATTTGCAGGAAGTAAACATGAGTTGGCTGAAAATTCGTTTTATTTCAGGATACTGTCAGAGATAGAATTGTAGTTGTGATATAGATAGAATAATAATGTGGAAGGAGGTGGGGAATGGATGTAAGACTTAGGAGTGTAGCCCTTTAGGTGAACTTTTAAGTTTAAACATAACCATAAACAAAAATCATTCATATTTCTTATTTATATAGTATTGCTGCCAACTTATGAAGTGTTTATATTCAGAAAATAGTTCATACAACTGATTCCGTTATGGTTTATATAATCTGTAATTTGCGGCAGTAGCAGGCAAAGCTGGTATTACGTAAACCCCTCGTGACTGACAATTGTTGCTTTCATGCAGTTGCTATGCAACGCCACAGAATTTCAAATGTAACTTGTTCGGAATTTTTATTCTTTGCTATATATTGTGTATCACAGTTCTACAAATAATGTTTCATGTGTGCTTACTTTTTCTGAAGTTTACGAAAGTATAGGAATTTTTTTAGAATTGTCATGTAAAGTATTGCTATGTTATAGAAAGTATATGAAGCTTGCCTAACAGGTCCTTATTCTTGAGCATCTTATATCAGATTGTGTTCAGATTCCATGTAATAATTTGTCAGTCTGATGTTGTAGTGCTCAGCATTATTACTGGTAATTTCTTGCGTGAAGAGAAAGTAGGATTTTGTGGGATGTGAGGAATGTTGAAGAAGTGGTTCTGTAAATTTACGGTTGTATTACCCTACAAATGGTTGTTGCTTGTTACATATGGACTGTGGATTGATGGGATGGATCCAGTGATTTATTTTTTAAAAAAATATTTTACATAATACATTAACTTGCTCTCACTATGTATTTCTTTACTTGTAATGATAAATGCTAGGTATGGACAATATAGTAATGGTACTTCAAGTGCTTTTCCTGCTTTTGTAATATGTAAATTATAGAGGGTAAGTTATAGTGTATAAGGAAAAGTGTGAATAACAATGGCTTAGACTTGTAGGTAGCATAATTTTATGATTGTAGGTCTGCAGTTTTAGTGCCTGTATTCTTTTCAGCACAGTATCCTATTCTTGTTTACAAATATGTTGGAATTGCATAAATTGTGAGTAGAAAGATTTCACAGTTTGGTGCAAAAGCCATTGTTGAATTTAAAGTATACATAAATGTTTCATGGTAAAATGAAATTAAACTTTTCTAACATAATTAGGAGAGTTTGGGAATAATGATTATATGTACCAGCATTTTAACTGTCACAGTTTGGAAGTTGTATTATGTTCAGATTTCTTGATTTAAACATATGTTTGATTTCATGTATTTTTTCAGGTGTTTAGTAAATTGAATGTAATTGTTACTTAACGTTATTTTTTAACCCTCAGCAATCCTAATGCCTTGCTGGTTCCCTGTGGTTTGCGGACCACGATATGTGAGAGAAATATCTTGGTCTGATTTTGAAATTATGTATTAGTCCGCCATAATATCGGGCCAAGAAGGTGGTATTCTATCACAGTCTGTTCTGCCATTCAAAATATAAAGGATATGCTTGAATAAAAGAATTTGTTTCTTGCATGCGAAATGCATAAAACCGAGACAATGGCATGGTCGGTTACATTGTTTCTGTTCTAAACGGTCTGTACTGGGTTAGGCTGTGGTCTTGCATCACAAAGCAGGATCTACACCTGCTAGCGGAAAGCCGGAAATGGTGATGGGGACGAAGGAGTGATTGATTCATCTGATTATGGCTGTGCTGTGGATGTTATTTTGTAATGTTTTGTTTTAGTTACGTAGGGAGTACTGTCTGTGTACTGATCATGATAGTGGTGAGGACGAAGTATGAATCTGTCGTCGTAAAACCATTTTCGATATATGAGGCATTCTAGTTTGTATCTTACGAAACTGAAAGTGGTGTTTACTATGATTCGTAATCATGGTTATGTTGATTCTCAATATAATTAACCGATCTTTCAATGAAAAGTATTTCACTTGAAGCAGCGTAACAGCGTGTGAACGTGTTAGTAGGGCACTAATCCATTAGTGAGCCTAATTAAGTATATTCATTTGCATACCGATGATAGTTTCTATAAACTCAGATGTTAGAGGCCTGTCAGAAATGGCCAGGGTCCAATTGTTTTAGACTTGATGCCAGCATTACATCGATCTAGTTAATTGTATAACATCTAGCAATGCGAAAAGAAAGGGAGCCCGAATTAAGTGTGGACTGTAATTAGGTCGTACATGGTTTACATAATTGTGATTGGGTCGAATTTAAGTCACATTGGTAAGGACTGCATTCAAATGCGTGAATGATAGTTTGACTGAACTGTGTAATTTTTATCACTAATTCTGGTATGCGGAGTTACTGTACATGTAAATCATTTTGATTCAGCCTGGAACTGATGGAATTGGTAGTACATGTTTTGTGAAGTTATTAATTGTATAGAACATGGGCAGAAGCAAGCTGATGTTTGGATAGAGATGGCTCTTAAAATTAAAGAGAAACACCATTTTGTTTATAATGTTCACCATAACTGCACTGAAGATGCAGCCTGCAATTATATCAAGAGAAAATGTATAGTTCTCAGAAGTTGCAATTGTATTGTACATATGTCTTTGGATTTATTTTCATCCATCTAGATCAGCCACTGGTAACCTTGCAGTGAAAACGTTTCGAGTAGAAACTATGAGAAGTTCTCTAGAATTTTTTAGACAAAGAGACTAATTTAGCAGAGGGAAGTATAACAACATGGATGAATGGACACTGAATGATTTACTGGAATGTTCCGTTTGCCTCGAACGTCTGGACACTTCAAGTAAAGTACTGCCATGTCAGCACACATTCTGTAAGAAATGTTTAGAAGAGATAGTGAGTACTCACAAGGAACTTCGATGCCCTGAATGTCGCATTCTTGTTGATGTAAAAATAGAAGACTTGCCACCTAATGTACTCCTAATGCGAATTCTTGAGGGAATGCGTAATGCAGCTCCCAAGAAGCGCAGTGCTATACCAAATCGCTTGCAGGGTGGTCTCTTCCCTCCAAGTTCAGTTCAGCATATGGCATCACTGCAGCAACAGCAACAGGTGCCTACCCATACAGCGACAATATCATCCCCAGAAACCAGAGTACACACAGTTCCCAAGCAGCATGTGATACAGCCAAGTCAGCCGTATGCCAGAGCGATATATGATTACCTCTCAAATGAACCAGGGTAAGAAAAGAAAATTATATGTTTAAGATGCTGGGATGTATTTTGTTTTGGTGATTAGTTCTTTTAAAAATGTATCTGCAGAATATTTCACATTTATAGAGAACAAACAACAATTATGGGTATGGTTCTTTAGTGGAAGAAGTGTGGTTTCTGCAGCCTCCATTTCATCTTACATGTAGAATAACAAGAACTCTCAAGAAAATGTATTATACTGTGCCAAGTTTAATATTTACACTGCCTGAAATTGCTTCTATTTATTTTAATAACTAAACATTAAAATGAGGAATGCAGATCATTGTAATATTAAAATACTCATAATTACATAATTTGTGGCATATGTAATTATTGTTTGAATAAAAGGCACACTGCAAAATGAATGGAGTTGTGATGACTCAAACTAGAAATTATTTATTTTGCAGTGATCTGTGCTTTAAGAAGGGAGATATAATCTTGCTGCGTAAGAAGATTGATAGTAACTGGTATCATGGCGAGAGTGGCGGAAACCACGGAGTCTTTCCTCTTACATATGTGCAGGTTTGTTAAGAAAGGAAATGCGTTACTGTTGTAAGATTTGAGGTTTTCATGGCGATGTGAATATTGATTATTTTCTGGGTTCTTCCATGTAGCTTTCTGGCTGTATCCCAACATTTCAGAGGATCTGAGGAATGTTGGCACACACCCAGAATACTTCATGCTGCAGCAACCCAGAAGATCATTGATAAATTGGGATTGTTTAATTTACAGTAATAAGGGCACCATCATTTGGTATCTTGTATTATGCATCTTTTATGCACAAACAAATATACCTGACAGACCGACTTTCATTCCCTGCTGTAAGCAACAGAATCAGTGCACGGTGGGGATGGGTGACTGCTCAAATATGAATCCACTTTGTGGTTGCTGTCTGCACAAACAGGGAAGAAGGCGGTTCCAAGACTGACTTATATATTTATATGTATAGAGACAGCGAATGTGTGAAATGTTGGTTTTTAAACTCAAGTTTGACATAGCTTGTCCACCCAAGAAGGTTTTAGTGTTTTTATTTGCCATTAAATTTTCAAATCTGACTTGCAAGTTGTTTACACATTGGAATGAGTTATTTGTTCAGAATGGTTGTGGGACTCACATTTGTCAGTATAAAGGGCAGCTGAGTGAGAAGCTGTTACCTAATTTTCCACATTAACTACAACCATAAAAATCTGTCATTAGTGTTTGTTACATGTGATAACTCTCAAACTGTTCCATTCAATGAATGTCCAGAGCCTCGTTGTTTTGAGTGCCAGAATGTTGAGACAAAACGATGGCTTGGTACGCAATTAATTTTTACAGGTTATTACACCACTGCCAAGTCATATTCCACAGTGCAAAGCTCAGTATGACTTCCGAATGACAAATGATGATGAAGAAGGCTGCCTAACCTTTAACAAGGTACTGTCAATTTGCTGTTCTTTATGTGTTATAGTTTATTATTTATTAGGTTAGTATAATTTTCTGCATCTGTTTGCATTTTCTTACAGAAACAAAGGAATGGTTAAAATATACACATATTTAGACTCATGAAAAAATTATTATTGTTTAGGGTCCCTTGACAGAAATTCTGTGTGCATGTTTGTCTCCGTCATGTTCCACCCATATGATCCTTGATTTGACTACTCAAATAGAATTGGTGAACAGTTCAGGCTGTGAAGTTCATCATGATATAATTTTATGTATTCTCATGTTACTTGCACTTGCCAAAATATCTGTTCTCTTCCCTTAGCGTATAACATTATATAAATATTCCCCCTACCCAGGGTTTGAAGTGATAAGCAATTAATGCTGACATGATGTTGGGCAGTTGAGTAAAAATCTTAGTAATAAATGCACGTTAGTATGTTGCATGTTGTTGATTTATGATTGACATTATAATTATTTAACATAAAGTAACATTGCTCTTATTAATGTTTTCAGGGTGAAGTTATCACAGTAATTCGCCGTGTTGATGAGAACTGGGCAGAAGGGAAGCTTGGAGATCGTATTGGAATCTTTCCGTTGGCTTTTGTTGAGCTGAACAGTGTGGCACGAGCCCTCATGAAGCTTTCTACGAAGTAAGGAAGATGCATTGATCAGATAATAATCTTAACTTTACTATGAACAGTACAAATTATTTATGTTGTTGCTATACTGCCATAGGATATGAGAATATAATAACAGGAGTGACATCAGAGAATATGATAATACAAGTGAAAAGAAAAATGAAAGGTCATGCCCCTTTAAAAGTACTGCTTGAACAACAAAAAAGGGAATGACATTTTACGCTGTGGACTTCCAGTTAAGTCATTTTTATAGGATCTGAGGTTTTCATGGCAGCGAGTACTAATGTGGCTGTCTTCTGGGTAGAAGTGTGTCGCCCTGGTGATAGAGGCAGCAAGGACCTCTGAATCATCGCTAAACTTCTACCAGACTTCACAGCACTACAACCCAGAACACAGCCATCCTCAGATCTTATTTTGGACCTTATCCCTTTTTTTGCGTAGGATTTATTTTGACTTTTATATGTTCATGTGTTTTTTTAAAGTGCAGGCTCTATTTGTATACAAAGAACTGGACATTAAGTTTGTTGTGTCCCTTATCTGGCTTAGAAAACTTCAAGATCTTCAGTTTGTTGTGTGTGTGTGTGCGCGCGTGCATGGGCGTGCTCCTACAAGACTGCTTGGCGTCATACCCCAGGAAATCACAGTCCACAAATTCATTGTTATTGTTATTGTTACAGTTCCCAACCTGGTCCATCACGGGTTGCTCCACCCACACCAACTTCAGAAGATACCACGCCACTGATTCCAACAGATCACACCCGTACTGTTGCTAATTCTCACTCATCACAGCATCATGGTGTTGCAGTAAATCTAGGTGAGATGTTATGTTAGATATAATTTGGGAGGTTGGTTCATATGGGACAACACAAATTTGCTGATGTTTGCAGAAATTGAAAGCTGATGCAAAACATTATTTAATGTGTAATGATACATGAACATAGTCCTCAGGAAAATATTTGTCTCCAGTGGGAGTAAGAATCCGTAGGCTGGGGAAAATGCCGTAATGAGAGATTCATAATTAGTATTCTTCAGCAAATATTTTCACAGTAATTTAATCAAGAAGGATGAGATGGGTAGGGCATGTGGTGTTTAGTAGAAGACATGAAAAATGGATACAAAGTTTTGATTGGAAATTCTGAAACCACTGAGCCGGCATAGATCAGTCAGTATAGAGACCGACTATGGACTGGACGACCGGTGTTTGATCCCTGACGGGCAGAGGATATTTCCTCTAGCTTCTGCGTCCAGACCGGTTGTGGGGCCCACCCAGCCTCCTATCGGATGGGTACCAGGGTCCTTTCCTGGGAGGAAAGTGCGGCTGGGGCGTAATGCTGACCACTCGCCCCCATCTAGTGACGAGGTCAAGAATGAGTAGGAGCTACACCCCTTTTCTTGTTATTTTGGGACACAACAATTTTTTTTGCTTTCAATATTTAAACTGATTGGAAGGTGGGGTTCCCACGTTTTAATCTGTATGCCATGTTTTGGGGCTGTATTTATGTCTTCCTGAATCCCTGCTTAGAAGATGAAGTAAGTTGCATACAATAATTTATATCTTTGCAGGAAATATAAGTGGCTCTGCTATCACACCCACTTCTCAGTCAGCGCACCAGCATCAGATTTCTAACACAGTTCCTCCAGTGGGGACTTCTGATTCAAGTTCAACTGTATCGTCAGCCTCATCTTCAACAACACCTAACACATCATCAAGCAACACGTCATCTAGTTCTAGCACGGCTCCATCATCTCCTACCTCGCCTCCCCCACCACGGATACCAGCTCCTGGCATCACTCTTCCTCCGCATAATGCGGTGGCTCCACCTCCCCCCAGGCCAGCACACAATCCTAATATCTCTCCAGGTACTCCTGCTCATCATGTCCCTCCTGCACAGCACAGAGAGAAACGTCACAGTTTCAGTGTGTTGCACACAGGACATCACCACCAGGCTTCTCATAGGTAATGCGGGGCAGTGCTTTTCAATACCAAATTAAGAAACTCGGAATAGCTATATATTTAATTAGAGGAACATTAACCTTATCCAGTTCATGGGTCTGTCATTGTAATTTTCCTTTACCAGACTTGCGACTCACAATGTGCTTTGGGTAGCTTGCATATGTTTTCTCGCTTTTGAATTTCCAGTTGCTGGTCTTGCTTTTTGGTTCTTCCGCTGTACCATACACGTTCCTAACAGGTTCTTTTATTCATGTATAAAATATCGTATTCTGTCACAGTGCTAATGTGCAAAGGTTGCATGAGCTTTTAAACAGAATAGCATCTAGCAGGAGAAAGTGATTTCAGAAGGTGAACTTTGAGAGCTTATTTGTGATTTTGGTATTGATATTGATGTTCACGATCTGTTAGGACATAGTGAAGATGTTAAACGACAAATGGTGAATGTAAAGGTGGGGATGTAGTGAAGAAATTAATTGTTGCAATTAAGAATATGAAATTTTGTATGAAGATTTTAAGGTATTAATTTTTAGTGCCTGTATGTGAAGAGCCCTTTATTTTTTGCAGACACTCAGCTGAGATTTTAAGTCCTACAGAAACAACACAAGACTGTCTGACTGCAGAACAAACCCTACAGTCGCAGGTTAGTCACCTTATTGTGGAGACAGGCTCATCTAAATTTTAAGAAGTGAGAAATTTGAGGATGGAGACAAAAATTATAAACAGGGAAATTAAATTAAATCAAGCTTTAAAAAATCTCACAATTGTATTTCTTAAAATGAAAATATTCAAACATTTGAATAGGTTTAAATGTTTGTCAGGTCTTAAAGGCACGCATTGTCATACAGTATTTGAATGAGGTTACGTAGACGAGGGTTCAGGAGGTTCCTTTGATGGTATTCTAGATGGGAGGCAGTGGTGAACTGCTTCAACGGCAAGGTAGCCAGCGACACCGACGGTCAGGAAGTAGTGACACAACAGGGAGTGGATTGACTCCACCTCCACCGCAGGGGGCTCCACACCATAGTTCAACAACTCAATTGCCTGCACCTTATACTGCGCTATATCCATACAAGCCCCACAAAGCTGATGAACTTGAATTGAAGAAGGGAGCCATATATATGGTGACTGAAAGGTGTCAGGATGGTTGGTTCAAAGGCACTTCCATTCGTACGCAGAAGTGTGGAGTATTTCCTGGAAATTATGTTACACCTGCCAGGTATGTACCACTGTCAGTGGTGTGTTGATGTTACAGGAATAATTTATTTATTTTTGCATTTAATCTGCTTGGGTGGCAGTGACAGCTGGAGATTATATATTATGAAAATATATTGTGATATTATATTATATTAGATGTCATTACAGCAGTCAGTCCTTGTCTTCAGAACATAATTTTTTTGTGTTACACAATTTGTGTGTGCATGCGTGTGTGTAAATCCCCCCCCCCCCCCCCCCCCCCTGCACTTTTGCTTTTACTTGAATATTTCATCATGAAGAGTTCCAGAGATGTGCAGCTTCTAAACCATGAGTTTTATAGTCTGAAGATACAGCATTCCACCCTCCACCCCCACACCAGTTTTAGCTACAATCTGAGTGTTCAGAAAATTCAGTAATTACCCATAAACATCTTCCAACAGGGCCGTAACGAGTGGGCAGGCACAACTGCGTAGTCTTGCTCGTGGTTCGAACAGCTCATCCATAGCACCACAGCAGGGTAGTGGTAGCAGTAGTGGCTCACCTCGTAACAATCCTGCAGCTTCAACTCCACCCGTTGAACCACGTAGTTTCACTCGTGTTGGCAGTAATAAGCAGGGTTCCTCTCCACTCATGTACAGTCCTCGTAACAGTCAACAAAGTCACAATAGTAAGTTATTTCGTAATTAAATTAATTCATTTTGAGTTCCTAAGTTTGTGAGAGAATGATTATCAGGTTTGTTCCTTCTGCACCAAAGGGTATTTCTTATTTATGTTTCAGCTCTTGGTACTAGTGTGATGACATCACAGGTTCCTCCAGAACTTCCTCCACGATCATCCAGCCCAGGACACAGCAGTCCTTCTATTTCCTTGTCTCAGCACCATGGCTCCACATCCGTATCTCCTTCGTCTCATCACGGTTCAGTCATCTCGTCATCTTGGCATGGCCAACAGCCTCAGCAGCCTGGAACTTTGGGCTTAGACCTGACTTCAAACTCGGCTCCAGTCACTCTCGGTCGCAGTCATAGTGCTGTAATGGCGACTGGCAGCACTGCATCTCATGGTTTTGATGCTTCGGTCAGTACGTTGGGGCGCAGCGCTGTAGGCCAGGGACTGGTGCACATGTCAACAACTGTTGCGCCACCACCAAATGTATCTGTTACGGCTGTGAGCAGTAGATCTTCAGATAAGGTATAAAAAATCAACCT